ATTAAGGGATGCAACGGGGATCGATTGATGGGGAATTTAATTCTCCGTCACACCCTCTGTGTTTCATTCCTTAATATTAATTAGCCAGCAAATGAATCACCTGAAAAACATTAAGAACATGTTGAGGACGAGTAGGACATAAGTTCCCCTCCGAAACTACCCCTGTAACAGCGGGACTGCTACTGCCGAGTTACCCGCACAGGCAGTTCGCCCAGCCGTCAGATTCGACCGTGGCGGCATCCCTCCGTTGGGGTCGAACTACTTTTGGCCTGGAGTCAGTCCAACCCCGAGATCTGAGCCTCTACTTTAGTCAATCCTCTTTGCCCCCCGATCCTGGCCACTACTCAGGTCTATCCTCTTCGCCCGGAAATGTGCGCAGAAACTTCGTCCACATCTAGTTGCGCACATGAAAGATTGACATATTACAACTCAAATACACAACCAATTTTACATAATTAATATGTCCACTTGCATTAAGTCCGTACGTCATTCATTTAATTTTTATTTCTGATTTTCTTTTTCGCTGTCGGCACACAAGCGCAAATTTCCCAAAAGTGATTTTGATCAGAGATTTTTTAAATTTTCCGAAAAAATAGCAGATTTAGGGAGAAAAGTGGAGAACAAGCTCAAATCAACGTTTGAAGTTTTATTTTTTAATTTTTACAATAAACTTGAAGTGCGGAACAAATTGACCACCATTTATGAAAAATTTAGGAGATTTTCTATGCAAAAAATATGTTCTAAATTTTTTTTTTTTGCATTTTTGAAAATTTTTAGTCAGATCGGGAAATTTCCAGTCCACACGGAACGCCTCTAATTAAGCCACGGGATCTTCGCTAGCCGAGAATTCTCCTTTTCTACACATAAAAATTGAGACGAATTCACAAAAAAAAGTTCTCGAAAATTGTGCGGGATTTTTTCTGATTTTTTTTTCGTTTTAATTCAGAAAATTTCCGGTCGAAATCATCTTTGAAAAAATACGTGCTTGTCCACGGAGAGAAGTGCTCAGTGAAAATTGTGGAACACACAGTTCGCTCACTGATTACGGAATCGATTTCGAAAATTTAAGTGATGGTTTCGTAATTTTTCACAAGAAATTCAGGTAAAAATTACGGAACACTCTGGAAAAATTCCGTGACAGTTCCGTAAAATTTCCTACAACCACCTTTCACTCCCGAATTACGGAAAAGATACGTAGTTTTTATTGAATATTTCTTTCCGTGTATGCCGCACAGCAGAGAGAATGAAATACCAAAATAAATACTTTTATTCCTTATCAATGTCATAATATGCCAAGACCATGAAAAATCAAATTTCGAAAGATCCATTTTTTGTTTTCCATCTCTCTATTGGCTCTGCAAGTCTGCAGCATACGAGCGCGCATTTTTCAAAGATGATCTCGATCGTAGATTTTATCAATTTTCCAAAAAAAAAAATCAGATTCAGAAAAAGAAATGATAAATCGACTGAAATAAACGCCGTTTGAAGTTTTATTTCTCGATTTTCACCATGAAGTTGAAGCAGGGAACAAAATGACCACAATTTTTGAAAACTTCAGAAAATTTGTGATCAATAACTATGTCTTGAATGTTTTTTAGCGTTTTTGAACACGTTAAGTCAGAATGAAGAATTTTGAATCTAAAATGTCTAATCACATAATTGAGCCGCAGGATATCTGCAAGCCGAGAAATCCTCTTTTCTATACATAAGTATTAAGAAGAATCAAAAAAAAATCTGTCGAAAATTTTGAGGCCAGTTTCTTCAACGATATTTGGTGGCAGGGCCCATATACGTGGATTGTTAAAATATAATGGTTTCCATTTTTTTTCATTGTTGGAGGTTTATTTCGGTGGACGAAATGGTTTTTGGACCAAAAGTGCAAGTGACTTGAATACTTTCAGGTGATTTCTGAATTTCACTCCAAGTTTTCGCTGAATATCTTGCCAACTTCTTCGGCTTGAAGGAACATTTTTTTATAATTTGCATTTTACGAAGTGTCTTATTTCGGTTTATCGCTGCTGGTGAATTATATATTTTCTCAAGATGAAGAATATTCACTTATCGGGTCAGTTTAGCATGTGTGAAGTGTTTGGTTTCCGCATGACGTGAGTAAAGTTCAGAGGTCTTGAGTAAAGTAACTTCTCCTGCGTAAAGCTTGGATTTACGCCCTCGAAATTTACTTTACACACGACCTTAAAATTTCCGCACTCCATGCAAAAAAATGTTATCACTACTGCACTCCTGAAAAGTGGATTCGGGAGGTATTATAAAAAATAGGCTATGTTACTCGTACGTGCGAAAAAGTGAAACTTTAAGCACTAGTAACACAATATACGATTTTATTTATTTATTTATTTTTGTTTTGTTCATATTTCGTTCCTACACATTCGCCTGCCTGGCCTCTCCCACTTCTCTCTTCTGAGTTTTATCTCCGTTACTATGGGCCGTCTTACTTTTAACTGTACCCCATTCGGACTAGAACTTCACGGGAAACTATGGAAAACCGGAGTCGTACAGCCGGCTGATTGTGCAGAGCCCTAATGTGCCCTTCTGCCACACTGACTAGAGGTGCACATTAGGCCACTACACCGTGCCTACCTTTCGAAATTTTTGGGCGAAGATGTTCCTAAGCGGTTACCCATTCAAGTGCTAACCGCGCTGAACGCAGCTGCACTCGGTTGTCTGCCGGAGCAACATTTAACTCATCCAACCATTACGGTCGGCCCCCAATATACAAATATAATTATTAATCTTAATTGGGATTGCGAAGATTCTATCCAAGGCCATACATTGTTACCACCTTTGAAAAACCTATTTCAAAGAAATAGAGTCTGAACTGTTTGGGCCGTAGCAAAACCTGATATAATAGAACTGGGGAGTTTGTGCACCTCAGAGTTACTCCCACTTTACACAATTCCCACTCACATCCTTGTCTCCCACTTCTCAAAACCAAAGACACAATCTCCTCAGTCTGACCGTACTTTCACCTCATCAGTCTCCTCACATTCAATGCGTGGATTAGCAGCCATTCGTGGCACTCCATGATACCGCTATCTTGGCTCTCTGTCAAGACCAAGCTAGCCTACTTAACCATCGATATCGAACAGTTGTTCCTTGTTATTCGTGGTTTGACTAAATCCCCGGTGCAATGTTTACAAATTGTCTGAGTGAAACAATGTAAATATAAGCATAAGTCGAGAAACTGGACCCAAAAGTTTCGTAAAAATGTGGAGGACACCAATTTTATATGTTTTCGTCTTTGTTGTAATCCTTTTACACGGTGGTAAGTCATAGATCAATTGCAGTAGACGATAGCAAAAAAAAAATTGTCGATAAAAGTGTTGGGAAATCATGGAGATGTTGGAAATCCTAAGCGAAATAATAACTGTGTCAATCGAAATCCTTAGAATTCTTCTGTCAAGGTTTTTTAGCTTCCTGTCCCTCATGGCCACGTATTGAAATCTCCGTCACTGGGGCAATTACAAGTTACCAATATGATTCGTACTTACAATGTTCTTATTCAAGAATAATTTTTTTCGCTATAAATTGGAATGTCGGTGATTGAGAAGTTTCGAGTTATAGTGATGAAGATGCCTCTTGAACAGTTGATTTCCAAAATTTAACGTTGAATTCTAGTTAAATTTTAACTGAATTTCCTGCTGATTCACAGGACTTCTTGCATTGTTTTCTTTGCATTACTATCATTTCTCTCAGATTTAACTTTTGGTTTTCAGTCAACTGTTAAAAAAAATTGAACCTTCCCTATCTCAAAACCGGTTATCGTTAATCCAAAACAGGTTCCTCCACATCAAGAGTTTTATGAGGCTTACTCATAAAATTTTTTTTTTAAATTAACACTCTGCTTCAGAGTTTCATTGAACGAATTCTGCAAGAATTTTGAGTGTAGATTTTATTGTTAAATATTTATTCCAGTTCAAATTTGAGTCATTTTTTAGAAATTCAACACTCCGTTGCTCCATACTACGGGGGGACCCATAGATTACTATATTCCAAAAATTGCTAAAATTCATTAGAAACAAATAATAATAATAAGATTTGATTTTCCAAAGTTTCTACACACTTCAAGATGAGGTGTCAAATTTTTTCATACTTTTTTAGGGAAATTTCAAATAATGTTATCAAACAAATTGAAAAGTGCGGCGCATTGCTGACAGTGTGACCGCTGCAGGGTTAAGATTCAGTTATTTTTCGACTCTGAATTTCAGGAATTTTTTCTCCACATTTCAGCGACACAAAATGCCTTATACTGAGGATAAATTGAGTTAGTACGAGAGTCCCGAAAAATTAGAAATAGTTTCCTGTAGAGTAATTTTTTTTGCTTTGTGTAGGTTGTACTCAAGACATAGATGAAAAGTACAATGGCAAGTACATTGGTAAATTAAATGCATACCATCATCAAATTGCTGGTGACGTTTACGCCGTGGACGAGTACACATTATTGTTGACGTCCTTTAGCTATGATGGCACCGGCGCAGATACATTCTTTTGGGCCGGTGCGACCAATCATCCAGGTCCTCAGGGATTCATTGTCCCAGACGAGTTTGGCAAGTGAGTCCAGTCAATTCTGAACAAAAAACAGCTGCAGTACTTGATGATTCATTCATTAACAAATAATTTTTTCATAGGACCAACGTCCTTGACCGATATTTTAATAAGGATTGCACACTTACACTGCCGGACAACAAGAAGATAACGGACATCAAGTGGTTTGCGATTTACGATCTGTCAAATCAGGTACTTAACATATAATAATAAATAATAATGAAGTTTCTTGTGGGAAGAAATCGTATAAGCAGTTTAAATTGCGCCTAAAATAATACTGTCCGTGGCATTTATAATTTATTTTCAGAAATGAAGAAGAAAATATCTTTCCAAATTTTGACAAATTCAAATGTCAATGATACCTTGCCCTTTCGAATCTAATCCATCAAATAGACATGAAAATAGATTGAATCTATTGAAAATAGTTTCAATAAATTGAGAAACTCAATAGCGAACCTAGCGCATTCGCTGGAAAATTTCATTTGTTATTTGTCAACTTCTATTGAAAGCTATTCAAAGTTTCCAGGCAATTTTTTAATCGTCGCCAAAATGAAAAATCTAATGTTTTCAAAAATGTATATCTGAGAATTTTTATTGAAAAACTGGCTGGTGTGCCCGCCGTTGCCCGGGCAACTGTTTTTTTCTGCCTCTTATTTTTGAATTGAAAATAATTTTTTAATGAATTTTTTGGTGATTTATACGGGTTAAAAATGAAAATGAAAATCATTAGCTTCACAATTTCCATAAAATTTATTTTATGACTTATTCTTAAGTATTTCAATAACAGAATCATGAATTTAAGAAATTGGGTTTTAATTCTCGAATTCGCTTCAAATTTCTAGAAATTCCTTGTATTAACCCAAAATTTCTTGAAACTCTATGCATTCCCTCGAAAGATCTGGAAACTCTCAAAAAAAAAATTTCACCGGTTTTTCGTTGCAAGGGTTAACTTGCCAACGCGGCCATCGCCCGAGGGCCTTCAGTCAGGGAATGTTGAATGTGGAGTGGGTTTTTTCACTTGCAAAATCTGTGGAATATTCGTTTTGAAAATTATGTTAAATTTTCAGATGAATATTATGTGGAAATTTGTGATGGAAAATTGGTGTGGAATTTCGGCCCTGCCGGCGCTCGAACCTGGGAGCTTGAAGTTGTGAATCTCATGGTGCTACCAAGTGCACCACACATCCGGGTTTGGAAACTCGCATTTTTCTCGAAATTTCTAGAAACTCCTCACATTCTCTTCAATTTTCTAGAAACTTGTTGAATTCTCACGAGTTTTCTAGAAATTCCGTGGATTCTATCGAAATTTCTGGAACCTTCTCGAATTCCCGCGAAATTTCTATAGATACTCCTTAAATTTCCTCGAAATTTCTAGAAATTCCTTGAATTCCCTTGAAATTTTTAGAAACTTCTCGAATTCCATCGAAATTTCTAGAAACTTATTGTATTCCCTTGAATTTTCTAGAAACTACTTGAATACTTACGAATTTCTTGGATTCTATCGAAATTTCTAGAAACTTGTCGAAGACCCTCGAAATTTCTAGAAACTTCTCGAAGTCCCTCAAAATTTCTAGAAAATATTTGAATTCCCTCGAAATTCACAGAAATTCCTTGCATTCCTTCAAAATTCACAGAAATTCTTTGCATTCCCGCCAATTTTATAGAAATACCCTGAATTCCCTCCAGAATTCCAGAAAGTCCTTGAATTCACTTCAAAGTTCTAGGAAGTGGCTAAATTCTCACGAAATTTCTAGAAATTCCTTGGATTCTATTAAAATTTCTAGAAATTCCTTGGATGCTATCGAAATTTTTATACACTACTTGAATTATCTAGAAATTCCCTAGAATTGTCCAGAAATTTTCCAGAACACTGCTGAATGTTTCCCGATTTTTAAAAAAATACCGAAATTTTTTAGATTTTTCGAAGAACCCGAGATTTTTTTCAGGAAATGCTGAAAATTGCAAGAAAATGTGTCATTACAGAAATGGAAATAATTTGTTTCATAATAACTACCGTTGAACATTCTCAAGTTTCCCCGGAAGTTTTAGAAATTTTATACATCATTGGGAAAACTGAGTTTTTTTCATCTCTGAGGAGCATTCCGTCCTTTTCTAGAAAATGCGAGAAACTTCCAGAACAGTGTGGAAATTTCTAGAACTCTCTGCGTTTCACCTCATCAGGGGTCGATTTTCAAAAAAAGAAAAACACGTGTCGATTAATTTCGAAAGACGAATCTACACATGAATTTTCAAGTCGCGAACTTGAGCAGTTTTCGAAATCGCCTAAAAATATTTGCCCTGTTTTGACCCCCTTAGAGGATGAATTTCCTTAAAACCCCTTCTTAGTGGGTGCTTACGTTACTAAGGGAAGCTGTACACTGTTAAAAAGTCCCCCTCGAAAACTACAACACATGTATTGGCAGCACTGTACCAATACCGTAGTAGAAATATATAGTACAGTACTGTGGACCTTTTTACACTACCGTAACGCAAAATTTCAAATGTGCCGTGTAACATTACAGTAAAGTTTTGTGGACCTCTTTACCCTACAGTAATGTAATATTCCAAATGTGTCGTGTGACAGTATAGTACAAGAGTGCAGTAAAATTTGAGGGCTAGTATTCATTATACCAATACAGTATTATTTCTTCTTCACAGTGTCGTATTGTAACGTTGCCAACACAGTTTTACACTTTTGAAATACAAGCGTATTGAGAATTCTGAATACTCTACTTCGGTTTTTTCAACACAAATTTATCGTAATATTACAGAAACTCGGCATTAAAAAATGAGTACAGATGATGAAAATTTTAAATACACGTGTATTAGAATTTTTCCATACTTTTGCAATAAAATTTGAAATCGTTGTGTAATTATTCAAGACAGTTTTGGGGAATCCATGCACGAAATTATTCGCTGGGGAATTAGTGTACAGTATATAAATCACAAGATCTATGCGCGCGCTGGTCTATTCATTTGTTCAAATGAAGAAATGGAATTCATTGAATTTTATTTTCTCATGAATACCTTATAAATATTGATAATGAATCAAAGAGAATTCGACTAATGATTGAAGTGAATAGCGAAGTAGAGTAAAAGAATCTATAAAGAATTTTTCATTTTCAATTAATTATCTTCCATTTTTTAAAATAATCGGTCTCCATAAAAGGACAGAATTTATTAATTTCACCCATGATGTATATACATGTGAAATATATATATGAAGTGAAAAAAAAATTTACCACTGAAGAATTTGAAATTATGTCACTGAAGAATTTGAAAATGCCGCGTGTTTTTTTTTGTGAATAACTTCGTGTCACATATTGACCAATCAGAATGTCAATCATTACTTTTGGATCGAAAGACATAGATTGTCTTTTCTTGTTGCCTTTTTAGGAGCCCTCTGAAGGATTGATCATCAAAAAGTATCTGAAAAAATCCAAAAGTTCGAAAATATTGAATTTCGATACGACCAAATCACTGTTTACACACTGATAGAAAATTTCTCCGCCAATTTTCAGTTAAAATTTTGAAATATTCAACAAAAACTAATTGATATGATATTATAGTCAATTTTGGTAGTGGTAAATGAGTAAATTCTGGGATTTCTTCATGAGAATCAGAATTTCAATCCGATATCATGATGAAAATGGTTAAAAACTATGAAAATTTCAGTGGATATTACCTTGAATTTTGCATTCATTCGAAATGAATCAGGATAGTTGTTTCTACACCATTTACTTATGAAGAACTATGCGAGATTTTACAAAGTTCACCTTTGTATCAGCTCCAGAGTCCGAGCTAACTCCTTCGGGTACCAGATTCGAAAGATGTAGTAAGCCAAAAACGTCAGCAAAATTCCGTTATAGACTCCATCAATGGGGATGAGGCTGATTTTATCCAAGCATATAAAGTACGTGGCGTTTTCACTGCATAATGATTTTCCTGAAATAGAATCGCAAGTGGTCAATATTTGCATTCTAAACGGTCAGAGAAATTATTTATGGGAATCATTTCACGTTGCGGTCGTATCAAGTCGTGGGCTTTTGTTCCCAGCCTTCCTCTCTCTGCTCATATTACCCACTGCATTATATAGTTGGGCAGCTAGTGCTTCATATCCTCTCCCTAATTTGACTCCATCGATCTGATCCTGAAAGGAGTTTGGATATTTCTCGCATATCGGCTGGCTTATGGCATAAGCTGTACCCCGTATGGCATCTTTCAAGTCATTTATCATATAGATCTTCAGTTGCGTCACTAATTTCCTCCTTTGGTCTTCAGATACACGTACTCCTTCGCGACATTGTCTCATGATGCCTGATGGAATTTTATCCCAGAGAGTATCACAAAAATTCGTTCGTGCCTGAGAACATTCTCCCGTCGATGTCTGGTGAATGGGTGAAGTGCTTGTAACATATGAAAATATACAAAAAAATGAGGAGACGTATTCTACATTTGGGACATTCCATGTCAACTCAGCCAAACCGGATTTTTTTTTATCTGGGAAAAATCATTGAGTAGGTGCATTTTGAACTACTACATATAGACAGTAATCATGCAAAATTTCATTGCCCTGCCACTTTTTGTTTCTGAGATAATCATTATGAAACTTGAAATTTTCAAAAAATCATTACTTCTGAATGAAGCATCCGATTTTGATAAATAAAAAAAGAAAATTTTCGTTTTTTCTCGTAATTTGAGATAAAAAATACTTCAGAGCCGTAAAGAAGCTCCTAGACCGGTTTTTTGAGAATTTTTCGCGTTTTCAATTTTTTTTCACTCTAGGGCCGCTCGATATTCGATCGAAATATTTTTTTTATGATAGAGGATGTCCTTATATGATATGAAAAAAATACGCCATAATGGAAGAGCGAAGCAATGCACCGGAAATTTTTTTTTTTTCGAAATTTTTGGGTTTTTCAGTTTTCAGGGGAGATCCATCTGTTTTTTTAAAAGATATGAGTCTGTCAACCATTATTCTTCGTTCATATATGATGACATAAGATTACACCATCATGTAACTGAGAAAGAGTGCGCCGAAAAAAAAATTTTTTCGTTCCAATTTTTACTGGAAGGGTAGATAGTTGAATTGAACGTTATCATCATCGGAAGTTTGCTAAATTATGATCAAACAAATGAGAGGAAGAAACAAACGGAATCAATTAATTGATTTATCATCATCAGTCGGTTCC